CTTGAGAGTGATTGAATAGAATGTCGAAGTGATCTTTGTTTGTGTACCGATTTTTGGCATCGTTAATGAAATGTAGGTGATATAATGTTTGTTGATGGAGTGTAAAAATTGAGTTAAAAATGAGTTAAGTCGCTCAGTGCAAATAATTGCGAATCCTTCAGTATTAGCCTAAATTTGGGCGTTAATGTGTTTGATATAATGTGATACATCATTTCTGTCTGTTCTAATGAATAAAAGATCAATTTGTAATTTAGTTTTATTGAGACTCATTTTTAAAATTCTTTTTAGGTAGTTTTCTGGGATTTATCCTGGCATTAATGCAGTTACCAGAAAATATAGGATACTATTATTTCCCGAAAATTGAAAAAAATAAAACTTGCCGTTGTAATAAAATAAAGTATACTGAAAGATGCTGTAGAGGTAACGGCACCAGATCGCTAAATAGTTTCGTTACATCGATCCATGCGATGGTATTAAGATACATACACCTACACGGACTGCACAAAATACCTGTAATCATAATTAGATATGGGGATCACGTGGCTAAGTGGGTAAGACGCTAGCTCGCTAGCCTGGAGGTCGGGTGTTCGATCCCTGCATTGGCCGAGAAAGTTCATCCAGATTTTCCGGCGTGGTTCTCCCTTGTCAGTGATGCAGGACGGAGGGGCTGACAAGGAAAGCTGTCTAGTCGTTCGGATGGGACGAAAAACCGAGGTCCCGTGTACACATTGGCGTGCACGTAAAAGATCCCTTGGCAGTTGGAATTCGATATAAGAGTAGGCCCTAGTGCCGCTGTCCGGGCAAAATTTCCCTCATAGCACACTGTATGGCGTATGCCCGTCTTCATTAGCCCAGGTTAGGAGCAGAACAGTAGGACGTTAAACCCCATTTCATTTCATTTCATAATTAGATAGGTTTATCTCAAAGAAAACTGTCAAAACATTAGACCGGTCATATTGAGACTGGCATGTCAGTTTCAATTTCTATATATGGGGGGGGGGGGGGATGGCCGAATGGTTAGCGCGAATGTTCTGTCATTGAGTCCGTTGGCGTGGTTTAGATTCCCTTCTTTTATTATTCGCCTGCAGCCTTGTATAACCAATAGTAAATGTGTCGGAGGGGTATTTTTACATGCAACTATGGAACCATCAATACACCACCTTCTTATGCAGATTTGTTTTTTATTCATTTCTTACCGATAATACCATTTCTCTTGATAAAGAAAACAAATGTAAATTTTCAGCCTGAATTAAAACAGAATCTAACATATTAAGTTATCAAGAAATATTACACAATACAAGCGGAGATTTATAAATTCATTTTGTTGCTAATATCTTTTGATGAAGGATCTGGAATACAACAGAAGTCAAACCAATTAATAAATGTCAAATGCAATAAATCTAATGACAGATGTTTATTTCTCAGCTTCCTTATACCACCATGTCAATCATAACATGGAGCATATGCGCGTGACCACTTGCACGTGTGATGAAGTTAAGAAGTCGCTAGACACGCGAGTTATCCCCGCAGACAATTAATGTGGTGATTAGCGGGAAACAAATTAGCAAACTGATAAATATTTACACGTCCGCCTAATTTTAAGAAATCAGGCGTTTCGTAATAGAACGCGCGTTCACATCCCTGTAATGCCACGCGCTTTTTGATAGGTGTTTTATATTGAGGCAATCAGTTATCTCACGAAACTAACAGAAGATCAGCAGGTACCACAATCCCGTTATCTGGCGAGATTAGTTACCGTTAGTTGGAAATAATAATAATGATACGTTAAAATTGGAGTAATTACTGGTGATAAAAGGATAATTATTGTCAGTGATTACTGTGGGTGTTGGGAAGTTAAAAATTTAATATAACAATAAAGTACAGCGCGAGGGGCTTTTCTCTTTTAAGCACGTTATGAAATGGCAATTAATTTGTGGAAGCTGTCGTTTACCGATTATTTATAATAACAAGTAAAATGGTTTTAAAATAATAATTGAATGTCTTTATGTTAAGTAAAAAGAAATAATTTCATAACTAATATTAATGGAGAAATAATGACCCCGACTTTACCATGACCAGGAAGACATTGGAACAACTTGAAATCAATAGATCATAGATCACAAAATATGAGCTGTCTTTCTAAACAAAATTAAATGTAAATGTAATCATATTTAAGACAGTAGTTTTATGACCACTATTGTGTACGATGAATGCGAACAATAGAAATTTGACGACTCTGTTGTTATGAAATGTAATCCAGGATTTACAATTTTAATACACATAAAGATGTCCGCGGGATGTCAGTAGAAACCGCCGTAGACTTTAACCGAAGTTCAAATAATTTGACCTATCAATAATATTTTTATGTTTATTATTGATTATGATCTAAAATGCTAAATTTAACCTTTATTCTGTAATGTTAGGGCTTTTAAATCCTATTGGTTTGTAATTATTTGAAATAGGGATAGATGCACATACTCACGTTCAGATTAATCGTTTCACTCTTCAAATCTGGGTGACAAAAAGACTGAAGCAAATAAAAATGTTCTACAAAATTCAATACAGTATAGAGTGGTATAAGATGTTCCGGAATGAAAATTTCACTTCCAATTTTTTTCAATCGCGTTTATGTTAAAAAAAAATGCCCCCCCCCCCTTCAGAAAAAAAGACCTCATATATATAGGCATAGGCTTGTAGAGATTATACATTGGTCAATGAGTAACAACTCCGTTTTCTGATCAACAGAAGTTAATTTATCATTTGCTTTCATCAGCAGTGACCGTATGTTTGTCTCCCTACTTTCTTTGTTTTTTTGTTGTTTTTTTTTTGTTGTTAGTTAAACTTCATGTGTGGTTTATTATGTGTAGACCTATAGTTAGGTCACATTTAGCATCCAATTGCGCGAATTAATTCTTTTGGTTTGCAACTGTCGCTGTAAATGTGTCTGGGAAAGCAGAAAATCTCTGTAGATCTACACTCAAAATGTGATGGTTTTTTTAAAAAGAAATTAAACATTATCAAACTGGTGGGGATTGGAATTTCAGTTGGTCCTTAGACTGAACATGTTATCGTGACATGGGCCATTTCAATATAAAATCGATTGGTATGAGAAAGCTTTAGGAATAAAGCCTTATGTAATAGAGCACAAGGGCAGTTCACAAGGGCGGTGGTAATATTTGTCGATTCTACACATTATATATAACTGGCCTCTATATAAAATTGGTGCAGTGATGAAAAGTAAGCGAACAGACGTAGCCAACCACAAACGAATATTATTTTATAGGAGAAATTCATATTACGATCTTCAGGTTTATAGAGAACGAAGATGTGATATAAGGGAGGTAACTCTGTTTAAAATTGTCCTCACTTTGCTCAATGTAGGAAACAAATTTCTTCATAAATGCACCCAATAAAAAAAAGACAGTTAATGTGAAAAAAAAGATTTTAGTTAAATATTTTTGAAAATGTTTATTCTTTCTCCTCAGAATGAACCAAAATATATTATGCCCTATTGTTTAGAATCAACTGTTTAAATGTTTGATGAGGTCATTGCAACAGAATTGTTTCTAGTGTAAATTTATTTAGACCCCACGTTAAAAACCCCCATGCCCGATGATATTGATTGCACGTCGTCTAATCAAAAGATGGAAGAAATGACAAATAAAAATGCACAGAAGAAGTTTGAAAAGCCCGAACAGCTTTGTACATGATAAAATATTAAAAAATTCGAAGATGTTATCATTGATGTAATCCAGTGTGGCTTCACTTTAAATGGTGTTAATTCAACATTGGCAGTTGTTGAGTGAACCCCACATCACACAGGACATCAATTAATTCGAAAATGTCTTAATCTTTCACTATCCTAATTATAAAATGTGTATGTGTGTGCTCGTAAATTGTATTTTAAAACTCATGTAACGTATCAATAAATTGGGAGATTTGTCTGTATCGTTGCACACCTAGTAAACTGAACATGTCCGACTGAACAGTGTATTTACATGAAAGGCAAGGGACAAATTTTTGCCATTTGAGAAATATCGGGTAATTCCTTTGAGCAAAATAGCCGATGAACCATGATCATCAAGTCGCACTTTCTATACTTTTCGGCATTCAAATTCCTCGCTTTTCGGCGGATAAAAGATATTGCTTGGTAATGAAATTTAGTTTAGCGCATTAAACTTCTCAACACCAAACCGGCTATGAACACGTCATGCTGTGTGCTGAGGTGGAAATTTTACCATGATAGCGGTGTTACAGTCTACTCTTATTTCCAACTTTCAGGTGATGTTTTAGGTGCTGTCAATGGTATACGTGGGCCTCGGTTTTTCGTCTCATCTGAACGGTGGCTCTTTTCCCTGCCAGAAACCTACTACCCCCCCCCCCCCCGCACCACTAACAAGGTGAAACAAGCTCAAAAACCGAAACGCCGTGTCGACCCCGTTAAGCCAGTGCCATATGAACTCACCGAGTCACCGTGAATCCAAATACTGCCGGTTCTTGGAATTTCATGATTAGACGAGGCTGAGGTTATTTTGAATATGGCATGGCGTGAATTTAGTTCGTTATGAAAGCAATCTATATTGAGAAAATAATAACACGTACACCCACCAATAATTACTTACTATTGATGATGTAATCATAGATATAAAAAAAATGACCGATGTAATTGTAATTAAAGTCACTTATCGTAACTTACATTACACACGTTAGAAATCCGTACGATAACATTATGTAGAGCCAAGGCGACATATAAGTGGGGTCAAACTTACCTGTACACCGCAAAGGTGAGTAATGCAATATTACTGCGCCAATCTAAAGGTGAAATATTTGAAGAATTATGTTTCATACCCTTGAAATAAATCAAAACTAAAAGCTCCAAATTAAAACATTTATGACAATTTATAACACCTCAAAATATATTGCGTAAAACAATTGAATAATTTTATAGCCATTCACCATTTTTTATGGAAAATATATGGGATTAATTACTAACGCGGATTTTTATATACAGGTAACAGTGAATTCAATGGCGGAATAGATACCGATGAAGAAGAAATGTTGTAAATAACAAGATATTTTTGTGTTTATATTTTAAAAAGGTGTCCACAATGAACATCGTAGCCGTATTTTGTGTGTTAGGAGTTTTATCCACTTCTATTAGTTATGTGGAGTGTGATCGAGGTAAGGAAATAATGATCGAAAATGATAATATTATTGGATGCAAATTCTTGCCAAAGTTATTCGTACAAAATTATCGTTTCATGAAACATGTTTTCTATAAAGATTTTTAATCTGACTTTAACAGCTTCATGATTATCATAAAGTCCTCAAAGAAATGTTTTGTCATGGATTGTCAATGGTGGGGGAATTTTGCCATGGCAGTGACATCTTTTTTGCATGAAATGTTATCGCCATATCAAACCTGGAGTAAAAATTGGCTATAAATATCAACACATTTTAAAATTTGGCATTTTAATTACCAAGAAAAGAAGATGTTGGTCAGGGAGAAGTTAACTCATCAATGTATTAAACAGTAAAGCTGAGGTAGAGTGACTGAAGGGTTTAATGTACATGGCACTCTATTTAAACAGAACTTTTTTCATTAATTCAAATGACATGGTTTCAATTCCCTGCTTGTACATTGTTTATGAAAGAATGGGGACACCAGTCCAACCTCGTTGGTCCTTGGGTTTCCATCTACTGTTAAATACCCCTATGCACAAGGGAATTACGGTATCAAAATAAAATCGAACCATCTGTTAGTCTTAAAATGACTTAGTTTGTGTTGAGTGGGCCTTAACCCCGATTTATCTCCCTGTTTTGGATTTTATGGGTTCACACCTTTAGTTTGTGTGTTCACATCATTATTTCATATGTTCACATCAATATTTTATGTTTTTACAACATTATTAAATGGAAAAACATCATTAGGCCTATCTTATGTTTACATCATTGTTTTATGGATTGTTTCATCTTATTAATATGTTCGCATGGTATGACATCACATCAATAGGTCATGTATTCTTGTCATTGTTTTAATCTATGTTTGTGTTTTTATCTTTAGAGAGACCAGGTATGTATAGGGAATGATATTCTGTAAAATTTAACAGTGTTGTGAACATTTTTGCTTTGTGAGAGTAATCCCATGTGTTGGGAACAGTTAAAGCACACTGCCAGAAGGTGCAAGTTTTTAAATCACCTAAATATTAATATCAGGGATGGGTGGGGCAAAAGAATTATTGGAGTAAAATAGCCCCAGCATTATTTTGGTTAACTAAATTATTGGTTGGACATTTCTCATCCCCTAAATAACCCACTCGTAAGCACTATATATAGATATAATTTGTAATTAGTCAGAAATTTATCATTTTCGTAATAATGTATTCAATATTTAGAATATAATTAAATGCATGTTGCTGTCCTATCCATTCAAAAACATAGTTGGATTAACAATTAAGTCATCGGGTACATGGATAAAATCCCCCCTGTACCTGTCATTCCACCTATATACTTGTTGGTGTGCTCATATGAGAACCCTTGACACATGAAGACATTGAATAAAGGTGTCTGACTAAGTTTATCAGTCATTTCTCCAAGTTTTCTAGTTTTCTTCAACTTGTGTATACAAAATGATATATGTTAGCTTCGAAATGGCCTGAATGTGTTGACATGATGTTACACTCTCTCTCTCTCTCTCTCTCCCCCTCCCCCCTCCCTCACTAAACTACTCAATGATTCTTGATAAATGTAAACAGATATGAATTTGGTTCAATGAGCTATAAGCTGTGCTCTCACTGACATGTTTTTTTTTTATTCTGTTGCACAGTTTGGTTTTTAATTGTTGCTTTTGCTATTGAATAAGGTTATTACACATATGCAGTCTGATTAAAATACAGATCTATATTTCATTTCATTTTTTTATACTACATGAAGATCTGACAAGTAGTAGCGATAGGTCACGTCAGAGGTCATATGAACGGCTTTTGACCTTATGACGTCGGACATTTGATTAACCAATCAGCTTTGATGTTACTGGTGGATTACCCACTGTTCCATGCAAAACACGCCTAAAGATAGCCGTAACAGACCGTTTTATTGGCTAATCACTCACATCATTCAGAATACGTCAATGATAACAACTCTTCCAGATCCTAGTGTAGTAAAACGAAATTTTGAACTATAAAAACGAAACGAAATAGGATCTGCGTTTTAATCAGATTGTACACATATGCATGTCTATTTGGAATTGCTTATTATCGCTAATAAACTATTTTGATGTTTTTGCTCTTCAAAATGCATTTTTAATAATCAATCTATTGGCATGAACAATGTACCGGTATATGCTCAGTACGATCGACGCCAGTAAAAGTAAGTGCTGGCTAATAAAGCACTTGTGATATACATGTGAAGCTGAGAGAATACGAAAGGCAAGTCATGGAGTTTTTTTAGACTCTCACTCAAGAACATTTAGAGTCTTTCTCCTACTAGTTCAGGGAAGATCTTAGGTTATGTACTCGTTTTTAGAAAGACATTTGTTCTTTGTAGTTGTAATGAATAGAATAACAGCTCTACCTGTCGTTTTATTTTTATGTTGTGTTACATACATGTAAAGATCTGACATATTTCTTTGTGATCTGTGTTTAGAGATCACTTAGGATTAATGACCAGTCACATTGTCTGTATTGGTATACAGAGCCTCGTCTAAGGATTTGGTCGTGCGCGGGAATGTCGGGCGACGTCCGACCCGTGAGCACCGCAGGTGAGAGTCTGCGCAGGGGGTTCTGGGGGGCCCTCCTCCAAAAAATTTTGAAAATTGACTCCCTTAGACTCGATTACTGAGCACTTAAAAAATAGTTTCGGAGATTTGATACACTATTAGTTTTGGCATCTTGTAAAACCATGTAAAATTGAGATCAAAACACTGCTGCCGCTGACCCGCAGACCGAAATATACCCATAAAACAATCAGAAAGACGATTTTGTAAACCTACGCGCCATGATATAGTATTGGCACATGGGAAAAACCTTGTCAGCGATTTTCAAAACGTATGTATGTTGCCGCCCAGTCTTCAACTTTTGGGCTCAGTAGGCGGCACAGTTTGGCCAGTGCGCGGCGGTGGCGCCGCCTAGTCACCGTGTTAATTGAGGCTCTGTTGGTATACAGTGTTTTGTTTTGTGATGAACTATGGGAATTTTAAAATTCAAGCACATAAAAATGATTCTAACCAATTATAGTACGACTAGTTAATGGCAATGCAGATGTGATAGAAATTGGTTTGGGTTACAGTGTAGGTTTAATGAAAAATAAACAAAATAAAATTATTGAAATTTGATTAGATAATCCTTATGCAAATAAAATTAACTTTATTGTATAGAATATATTTACATACATGTAAACCCCATATATGTATTACCATTTTTCTATAACTTTCTTCTTTCTTCTATTGTGTTTCTTAATAAATTTACATTGATGCCCCAAAAACTAGACTATCAAGTATTATTTATGAAATTGAAGTCTACAAGTCAATGTTCACCACATGTAGACAACAACAATGCCAACTTAATGTATTTTGCACACATGTCTATTAAGAACAATGACTGCACCAATAATTCCTAATTCCATGATGACATTCAAAGCATATTAACACTTTCAATGTTTAAGTTCACCTTTAAATCACTTCACAAACATTGATCTTTATTATTACTGTCTATTACCAAATGTTACCATTATCTAAATGTTGATAAGTGTGAACACTGAAAACTGAAAACATTGACAATTATCGTAATGTCATTATTTTTTCATATTTCATTTTGTTCTTGTCAATAATGTATCTGTTTCTAAGAATAATAGATAATATATAATGAAAGCATGACTGTGAAGTGGTAAAGTCTTCTTGTTATACATGTTGATGTTTATGATTTAGAAAGCATGTCTAATTTAAGAAGAAAAGGTTTCGTTCTGGACAAATTCAAGGTCTGTATTTGTTTAGCGTGTGCATGTACATGATGTGTGGCCTTGGGCAGCATGCGTGTAAATGTACCGTTATGAAACAAATAATGTTAAAGAGGCAGTAGCTGTGTTAAAGGGAAACACGACACACAAGTTCCAGGTTTGAATCAATATAAGATATTTAAAAGCTGATTTCCAACATTTCTGGGTATGGCTTGTATATTTTGTTTAGACCATGTGTGGAATTAAAATAACAGTTTTGTGTTTTTTGTTTTATAGCCACAAGATGGTGTAATGTGAATGAAATGGAGGAAGAGAAATGTTTAAAGTTTAAAGATATTTTAACACAATTAAAGGCAGACACATCTATAAGTGACGATGATAAAAAAGATATTCCAAACATGTTTGAATGTGTTCGAGGTGTTGATGTGTAAGTAAACCCTTTAACATGTATGTATACAAAAAATATAAATGTACAGGGAAAAAAACAAACCACACATATAGAACAAAATATAAGCAATAAGACGTAAAACAAATTATAAACACTAAAACGTAACAGAAGATACACACGCTAAAACATAACACAAGGTATGAGCACATAACACAAGGTATGAGCACACAACACAAGGTATGAGCACATAACACAAGTATGAGCACATGACACAAGATACAAAAACTAAAACACAAGATATAAACCAGAAACACAAAAATGTCATAATTATAAAGAATTTGACCTCAGAAGGAGTCACTAATCAAAATGGCAAAGTGATTTTGTTCAGATTTGGGGATCAATTCTAATGGGAAAAATTTTATATGCATATATGTACTTGAGAGGAGTATGCCAAAAATTTATTTTGGACTGTACCCCCCTACATTATTGTTAATTTCCATTAAAAATTTATAATTTTTCTAGGTTTGCTTGTATGGATATGATAGAAAAAGATTTGGCAGATTTAATGACATTGGATGCAGGTCAAGGTTATTTTGGTGGTCGATATCACAACATGATGCCTATTGTTGCTGAGAATTATGATAATTGTAATTACAGATTTCCTTTACTATATAAGACTTTAAGTTGCATTAAAAACTGATGTAAATTACTTTCTGTGTTAATTTTTATGTTATTCATTGACATTTGACATATTTTCTTTGAAGACAGTGTTCAGATCACATTAATTTAATTTACCTTTCGAAATGTCTGTTGTTTCAATTTAAATGTTGAATCTGTCTACTATTTTCTTCTCTTATTTTCAGACGCAACAGATGTACCAATATATTATTCAGTAGCAGTCTTCAAAAAGACACGCCCAGTGTCCATTTCCACATTACGAAATAGAAAAATTTGTTTCTCAGGTAAATGTTGCTTGTAACGTTTTCTAGAAGTGGCATGCCAATATGTATGTTAGATATGTCAATCACGACTTTTGTTAGCTATGCAAATCAGAGGCTCTAAAGATTAGAAGAGGCAGGGTTACCACTTCGTACAGGTCACATTTTACTCATGTATTTCTTACTCACAATCATCTTTTGTCTTACAGTGTACTGTTTAACTGAGAGTTGAATGGGTTAAATTTGTTTGAAACTTATTAAAATAGATGTTGATTTGTTTTGTAGGTATTGGTACTAGTGCTGGATGGTTATATCCCATATCTATATTGTTAGATGAGAATATAATCCCTGTAACAGAATGTAACGCTGTCGTAAAATCTGTTACTAGTTTCTTCGGTCAATTATGTCTACCTGGAGCTTTATCGTCATTCTACAATCCATTTGGTAAGTTTCAACACTTATATAATTAAGACTGGTTCAAAATATTCTGATACGAGTATTGGGTTGGATTTTTTTGTTCTTATCTTGTCAAGGGATAAAAAGGCTAAATGACTTCTACAAACATCACATTTATGGTTTTACATGTCATTTTATTCTTGCTATAACAGCAGTGCTGTTTATAGAAATTCAGATAGATGTACATAATTATTTATTTTTGTGTTACATATTTAATCTTTATTGTACGCTCAGCTGAATTCAATTAATTAATTTTCATCTCAGTCTACAGATGCTTGATAACATCTCAAATTGATGGGAAAAAAATACCTACATATGTACAAAGTTTGGTTGAAATATAAATATTGTATGTCTTTATATACAGTTTTTTATTAGTTTAATTGACAATGATTAGAGTTTTTTATTTTATCTGATAGGTAATAATCCAACATCTGTTTGTCATCTGTGTAATGGTGTGGGTGAAGAAAGATGTACAACTAGTGATCCTACAGGAGGCTATGATGGAGCTTTCCGATGTGTCGCTGAAGGTCGTGGTGATTTGACCTTTGTACGTCATGATACTGTGGCACAGATGACAGCTACCGGAGTCGCAAATTCACCTGATGTAAGTTGAAATTAAGACATTTATGAATAAAAGATAGATTCAAAACTCACAAGCACACTGTTTTCTGAAATTGGATTATTTAACAGATCGTTGACATGGTCTGTCTGACACTCTGGATTAAATTTGAGCGTCTGTAGTAAACAAATGGACTTGGTTTGTTGCAGTCGTGAATACGTTATTTAAAAAAATAGTGATCACATATTTGCTGATTTGTTATGTATGTTTGGATTATTTACAGGATTATGGATTACTGTGTCCTAATGGGCAGACAAAGGCTATAGATGATTACGCAACTTGTAATTGGGGAAGTATATCTTCTCATGTTGTTATGACGTCTGCAATCAGAACTGGGCCTGTTTTGCAAGGTTATAAAGATTTTATTTTGAAGGCTGCTGAATGGTATGGTCCTAATGGTATATATAGCGATAAATTCAAACTATTCAGTTCAGATAGTATCAGGAGAAACTTGATGTTCTCAGATAGCACCATGTCCCTTCAAGATGTTGGTGAAAAGAATTATTATGATTGGGTTGGTAAGTGAAACTTTCATATTATCTTTAGAACCTTTTTTTTTACAAAAGTTGAACTTTTTGTCTTTTCATTTTTATGTATAAACATAATAAAACTTGAGTCCATTTTATACTTATGACTGTCTTGTAACCAATGGAATCCTGATCCAAACCATTGCTCCAGTTAGTTAGATAGTGATGGTGTTGTGTACAAGGTTGGTTATACATGTTCTAGTGGGGGGTTGGATGGCCGAATGGTTAGCATGTGCGCGTCGTATCATACCGTCTGTCATTGAGTCGACTGGCAGGATTTAGATTCCCTGGTTGTACGTGACAAGGAGAAGGTCGCCTGTCCAACCTTTTGGGTTTTCTCCGGGTTCTCCGGTTTCCTCCCACTGCTAAAGACCAATACGCGCAAGCAAATTATTGAAATAAAATTGAACCATGTGTTAGTCCCGAAATGACCTAGTTTGTTTCGCGTGGACGTTAAACCCCATTTCTCTCTCTATCTCTCTAGAACATCTGCTGTCACTTCTCATCTGAGGATTTCACACAGTTCGATAGTCAGCACCTTATTCATTGAGCCAAGAGGATGAAGCAAAGGACCTCCCTTGTTTGCTTTAAAACTTGTTGTGCTTGGGGAGTTAGATAATAACATTTTAATAGGACTTGCTGACCATTTTACTTCTCAACAGTTGTGATTTAAATTTGATCTTTTTGTTATTTTACTCCAGGAAAGAATTTTACCAACATTTTATCCAACTTGAACAGATGTCCGCTAGCCATGGCTAGATGGTGTGTTATTTCGCAACCTGAGAAACAAAAATGTGAATCCATGATGATGGCCTTTAAAGCAAAGGATTTGAGACCAGAGTTGGATTGTTTACTAGGGGGTAATACAACTAATTGTATGGATATGATAATGAAAGGGGATGCTGATCTGATGAACCTTGATGCTGGAGATATTTATTTAGGTGGAAGGTTAGTTATAATTTTTGAATTGGGTATTGTTGTGACTTGCGACCCCTGTGTTAATGCTGTCTGTGTTAAAATTTGAATCTGATCTAATTATACTAAGCAGCAAAAGAAACGTCAGGTTGGTATGTTGCTGTGAATAGACACATTGCATAAAACTTGCCAAATGTTTTTATTGTATATTTGTGACCACATCTCCAACCGGAGCAATAAGGCTCCTTCCCAAACACAGAATTGAACCAAGGAAATGTTCTCAAAAAACGCAACCTGGCTTCTGAGATGGTAATGTGTTCTCCATGATTTTCATGTAACTCATGCTGCCGTTCACCAGGACCAGCCCTATAAAATGCAACCCTTAAACCTGGTTGAATCCTACCCACACCACAACATCAGCAGCATGCCACAACTCACAACAGCTCAGAGGAACCAGGCGCTTGGAAGACTCGATGCTGGCCACACTGCCCAAGCCTAAGGTCTTATACATGGAAAGTATGTTTATCATTTTAATTACAGGAAATACGACCTAGTACCTATAGCAGCTGAAGATTATGGTGATATGTCTAAATCATTTAAAGTTGTAGCAGTAGCCAGAAAAACTGATTCCTATCTTACTCTATTTAATATGAAAGGTAATTCAAAATGAACAATTGTATTTCTAAATTTAAACCAATCATTATTCTCTTTATTCTAATATAGGCCCTATCCCGTTCCTCAATCAGGGGGTTGGATTGCCGAATGGTTAGCACATTCGCGCTGTATCATAAGGCCTGTCATTGAGTCAACAGGTGTGGTTTCGTATCCCCGGTTATATGTGTCCAACCTCATGGGTTTTCTCCGGGTCCTCCAGTTTCCTCCCACTACTAAAGACCCCTACGCGCAAGCAAATTATTGAAATAAAATTAAACCATATGTTAGTCTCGAAATGACCTAGTTTGTGTCAAGTGGACCTTAAACCCCATTTCTCTCTCTCTCTCTCTCTCTCTCTGTTCCTCAATCCTTTTCTGAGAATAAAATATTGTTTATAAAACAAAAATTATTCTCTTGTAAAATTCCTAGATGCCAGATGTTTTTTTAAAAAGTACTATATGGTCCACAAACCGAGCATGAGATCATATATGGCACCATCTTAGAATTGTGATGTCATATCAAACATGGAAGTCTGTCAAGTAATGTGTAATTTCCAGGGAACAATCATGCTTAGATTCATGTCGATCGTACTTGAATTGGTTGAGCCTTGGAGTGTTGCCCCCAACGATAAGGAGTAGAGCTTTAGGACCAGTTCTGTGCCCAAAAATGGTCTTATAGCTATATTTTTATTCTATTATGTCATTTGTTGTGATAGGTAAACGAGCATGTCATACTGGTATAGGAAGAGGAGATGGTTGGGTTATACCTTTAAATATTTATATAGAAACAGAACAATTCTTACCCACAGATTGTTCTATCTTCGAAAACTTAGGTAAGTTAATTTAGAAATTTTTATCTCAAAAGAAATTATATAAATGCCAGAAATAATAGGATAATTTGTATCAACACAACAGGGTTTACCACGATTGAATGAATGGTTGAAATGAGTTTTATGACATATCAGCTCCTACTGAGCTAAATTGCTCTAAATATATTGTGATCTTCAATGTGTTTATTGGTGGGTGAATTAAGTTTTGGCTATCCAAAGTTGAAGGAGATAGGAATCAGCTACTGTATAAAGATTGTGAAGATTAATCAGTTGTCTGAAAAAGAAAAGTTGTCTCCCTGTTTATGTTCATATGTTGTGAGTGCAGGCAGGTACAAATAAAACACTATCTATGGATAACAATTACTATGGTTTATCAGAATACTTCAATGTCAATCTTTTTTTAAATTTTTTTTAAAGTGTATGGATTTTGTAAACCTTGTTCCACAGGTTTTGTTCTTATTGGCTGCTGATGCCTTACAATACCCTGTCTGATTAAAGGGGCTGTCTCATAAGCTTTTAGTAAATAAAATTGACTAATGTTGATACCTCTTAGAAACCTTAATTCATGGCTATTCCTTTATATTTTTGATTTGTATGTGGAGTTACGGTTTAAATCCAACACTTGAAGGATTTCTTTATATTCCTCACATTACTAAGAGCCCTACATTCAAGTCAAATATTAGTTCTATTGTTTATATTGTTTATATATAGGTCAGCTGTTTGTAAGAAGTTGTATTCCGGGCGCATTAGATAAAGAATATAATCCGAATCAGACACCAATCAACTTATGTGAGGGATGTGGTGCTCAAGGTTACAGTAAATGTATGAGAAACAGTGTAGAACAATATTACGGAGCCAGTGGTGCTTTTAGATGTCTGGTTGAACGTAAGTACTTTTAGTTTAAATTATTCATTTTTTTTTGCCTAAGATTTTAAAAAGCAGGCGTTTAGATTTGTCGTCTGAAAGAACTTGTAGAGGTTTATGAGAATAAACGTTAAATTCTAAACCAATAAAAGTAAATTATTTTATTTAAATATTGCAGGTGGAGGAGATGTAGCTTTCGTAAGACATCTAACTATAAGAGATAATACAGACGGTAGAAATCATGCTCAGTGGTCTAGAAACAGACGGTCGGATGATTACGAGTTAATGTGTAAAGATGGACGACGTATCAGTATTGATAGATATAAGGAATGTCACTTGGGTTCGGTACCAGCTAACGCTATCGTTACAGCAAGTAAGACAATTTATCTTCTTTAAGTTTTTTGTCTATTGGTAAACTGGTATTTCTAGGCCTAAATGACACTTTCAATTCGATATATGTTATGTTGAAGATGAACAGTGACTATAAATTATAAATCAGTCTGTATACATACAGATAGATTCCAGGTTACTTGGTAGGGGTAGGTTGGTTGAGAGGTCTAATACATGCGATAGATTATTATAAAGCTTGTTATGTGTTCAAATCATGGTTTCAATCCCTGGTTTACTGGGTTTTGTAGTTGATAAGCAGTAGTGTCACGCCTACCTAACCTTATGTGTTTTCATACAGGCATTATTAAATAGCATGGGGGGTTGGATGACCGAATGGTTAGCGTTGTATCATGAGTCAGCTGGTGTGGTTTCGATACCCCGGTTTTACATGACAAGGAGTAGGGTCGCCTGTCCAACCTTGTGGGTTTTCTCCAGGTCCTCCAGTTTCCTCCCACTGCTAAAGACCCATATGGGCAAGCGAATTATTGAAATTAAAATTGAACCATATGTTAGTTCCGAAATGACCTAGTTTGTGTCGGGTGGACGTTACACCCCATTTCTCTCTTCTCTCTGAGAATAAATACTATTTCAATGATGATATTTCAAAACATTTTTTGACAATTCCGGAAAGTTTAGTTCAAATAATATTAGTCCTGTGAATATGGCAAACCTGAAACCGTAAATATCTATAGCAATTTTGTTCATTTTAAATTTTTGATTATGAGAGAAAAAAACACCAGTTTAGTTCGAGATTTTCACATATCAGAGCCTGGGGTATAAATATTTTATATATTTTTTTCAGGTCATAAGAGTGATCAACAGAGAGAAATTTATTGGAATTTGATCAACTTTGGACAACAATTTTTTTCTTCAGATATGTAAGTAAATTTAATTATTGTATAAAATTATATAATCTATGAAGATCATTTTCTTATTGGATGATTTACTGTATCCAACTTGAAGTTCAGTGGGCTGGATCCTTGCAAAATTTTGTGCCAAAATGAAACTCTGATTGTGCTTGTGCATATAGTGATCGTTACAAATCAAAATAACATAATATCAGATAAAACTAAAATAATATTTATGGCCTAAATCAACAGGTCCTGTTCCTTTACAAATTACATTGGCCATTTTGCTTAGTCAAAAATTGATCCCAAATAATCCAAAATTTAGTGATTATGTAGACTTAATATATCCTGATGAGCTCGAAATTAAAAACACTACTGACAGTGACAATTACGCTTCCTACTTGGATCTGCGTCTCGATTTTGACAATTGCCATAAACTTAGTGTTAAATTGTACGATAAACGTGATGACTTTGACTTTCGGATTGTTAACTTTCCATTTATTAGTAGTAACATTCCAATATCACCAGCTTATGGAGTGTTTGTGTCTCAACTAATTCGTTATGTGAGAGCTTGTTCATTTTATTCTGATTTTTTAAGTAGATCGAGTCATTTGTCATCTAAGCTTCAACTACAGGGATACTTGCGAACTTAACTTATTATTAAAACCTTTAAAAAGTTTTATGGGCGTCATATTGACTTGATTGGTAATTATAACATGTCTCTCTCGGCTATTATTCTAGATATACTTAATTGACGCGTATACAATCTCCCTGATAAGGTCTGTCTACTACATCGTTAACACTGTTCATCACGTGCATTTTGCATACCGATAGTCCATTGGCCAATCACGCTATTTTACCGAGATTTTGCCTAATAGTTTGGATGCAGCTATGGCGGGTGTGGCGCCAGGCAGGGTAAGCTTACTCTTCCAGACACCTGTTACCACTGTTTGTCGTGTATTTTGTACACGGTAAACAATCCATAGGCTGATTACACTATTTTGCCTTATTACACTATTTTGCCTATACCGTTTTTTTAGGACTTCGAATTTTGTCTAATGGTTTGGATTGTTCATACTTGGTTTTATTTTATTCATTTATTGTAGGGATTGTGTTGCTCTGGGTTTTTTTCATTCCCAATTTTTGACCAAATTTGCAACAAAAAAAAAAAAATTAAAATGTGACATCAATATTATTTGCATGTTCAGTCTTGCACCATGGTAGTTTGGAACTCAGTGCTCTAAAAATCATATTTTCTTTTTGTTACAGTGATGGTGATTTTCATTTGTTTGATTCTGGTATGGCTTATACAGATTTATTATTCACCGATGCAGCTGTAAGATTTATGAAGATATACCCTGATCAACAAAATTACATTTCTTGGTTGGGACCAGAATTTGTGGCACAGATTGAAAACTTACAGAAATATACTTGTGTTTCTGCCGATAGTCCAAGAATTAAGATGTCTTTTGTAGTAACAGTATTAACAATATCATTATTTAAAATATTGTTTTAATAAATTAAAGTAAAATATTTTCCTTGAGAACTAATTACTGTAAAGCAAGAGTAAATTTTAGCATGGAATTAAGTAAAAATCAGTACAGCTATAGTTGTAATGTGTCTAAAAATAACTTGACAAGTGTTTATTGAAATTAATTAGAATTTAGTATTTCTCCAACATGAATAACATGAAAAGAAATTTTGACTTTACAGATATGTTAGTTTAAGTAAACTTGGAAGAAAGTACTGGTAGAGACATCTAAGTTATAAAAATATAAAACACTATTTCAGCAAATTATTGTTATACTGTTAAATTTTCAAATAATACTTTGATTGTAGCATGTTATACTTGGCCTGTGTCCGCATTAATAAACTTTTTTCTTGCCTTACAGTAATTTCTTTTAATGCTTAAGAAGGAAATACTGGTAAAGAAATCTAAATAAGAAAATATAACACATTATGTCCTCAAATTATTCTCATACTGTGTCAGTGTCATACTTGGCATTTTTGCTTTCATTTAAATACTGCTAATACTTTCAAAATGGTTTAGAGAAAAAAAAAATATCAAAATTTGTCATGGATTCCAATCAAGTTATAAAGTGTGTGCTATAGTGCTTGGACATTTTCCAATGTTTTAGCTCTAATTTTTGTATATTTTATAAATGTCTGATAATATGTTGTTATAAAATAACTAGACATATTCTTTGTATATAAACATTGTAAATATAACATTCCCAAATAAAAAAATTCAAAATATAATAAATAATAAAGAAAAGAATCAACAATCAATCATTTTCAGTGACATGGGCGGGGTTTTATTAAGACTGGTGTTTGGTTTCTTACCTCATTGTAAAAAGTAAAGCCATCCTATTTCTTGGCTGAACAGGACCCAATAGTGCTCACTCTAGCTAGCCCCTGATCTTTTTTAATGATTCCAAGCCTTTTAAGTAGTTGAATTACTACTATTTATATGCATAACACATTGTAGTTACATGTCATTCAGGATAATAATTATTTATAATATTGGGTTATTGGTTATGAGGGGTTAGATGTGGATCTTTTCAAAATTAAAAAAATTTGAACATTATAATGTATTTTTTAAATTAACTAGATTCATTGTGATTACATTCCATTCATGCACATTATTCATGGTCTACTATATTTGGCAATTAGTTATCTATTAACTTACTGTATTGAAGATATAGTATTTGTAACAAAGAAACCCATATCTTCATATATATCTATAGTTAATATTGAGTTATCAAAATTCAGTACATAGCCTTGTCTGCCTAAATCCCACAGAGTTTGGCAATACAAGCTCCAGAATATATTCACAATTTTGTACAAGTTTATATTCCTTTTTATGCACCACAATTAAATTTATTGAATTCTTGCCACAGTGGTTATTCTAGAATTAAAAAAAATAGGTTTAAAATCACATTTTTTATCCTTCTATGTAAATATGTAAAGCTCAATATGTAGATATTTAATAAACATTCCTCTTTTTTAATCATGATTTCTTTTGAAAACATATTCATAAATAATTATTTTAATTTCATGTTACATTTTACTTGTAGAGTATTTTTTGTCATATTTTTGTATTTACATAGATCATACTACCCTTTCTAATAAAATCTTTATAGTAATTACAATTTTATTATTTTTTTCTTAATGGCTGCTGATCATCATTTGAGGGATTTTGAATCCATTGCAAACTTATTAATTAAAGTTGTCTCTGATGTCTTAACGGAATATCTGTCCAAACATGGTTCAATTACAAAGAAATGGTGAGCTGTAAATGTCACAACATTCGGTATTCTCTGCAAATGATATAAACAAGCCAGAGCCATCTATATGCGTTGGGTAAATTTTTCTGATGGGCCTTCTTTTAATCCGATTGAATGCAAGCTAAGAGATTATCTACCATTAACATTTAGATTTTGCTTTCTTAATGATGCATTATGTATGACCTGAATCTGCCTTTTGTAGGGTTTTTTAGGCTTAAAATGTTATATAAATTATTATTTAGACATTTATTCACATGGCAAGCCTATAATCAACTCTCTAGATCATCGGATGGCGGAGTCTTGGTTAACCATTAAATTACTACATTTAAGCGGTGCTACATCTTCCAACACCCATAACTTCGCTCAGAATATAGTACATATAATTTTAATGAAATTTTCAATATATTCCATCTTTATTATCTATTTTTGAACTATTATAACAAGAACGACCAGCTCTTTAACTAAATTTACATAATGCATCTGTAATGAAATAATTTATTAAATAATTAATTTATGTACATTTTAGATTATCATAAGCTCTTACAATTAGATGTTGTCCTGCACACAATCCGGTACATTAATAATAAAAAATCAATCACAATTGAACTTAAACAGTAAACAATATTATTATCTAGTGTTCAGGAAAAGATCCCCCATCCCCCCCTACACACACACTCACCACCACCCACACAATATTTATCAATGTGGGTTAGATAATATTATAATTAAATGTACCCCAGACTTCTCTGTTAGCTGACAATTGATTCAATAACCCTTATTTTTTTTATTTTTTTTTAAAAACACCTCCAGAAGAAAATATTCCATATTCTATGTCATAGATATAAATTAATCAATGTATTGGAGTTAAAATATAAGAAACCTTTTAAAGTCTAGTCTTTGCTTTGTTTTTGTCTGCAATTTTTATGTCACTCACCCTTTGGAACATTTGGGTCACAATAGGATAAACTGTTTTCCGAAGGGGGGGGGGGGGTGTCGAATGGTTAGCATGTGAGCGCTGTATTATAAGGTCTGCCATTGAGTCAACTGCCGTGGTTTCGATTCCCCGGTTGTAAATGACAAGGAGTAGTGTCGCCTGTCCAACCTCGTGAGTTTCCTCTCACTGCTAAAGACCCTAACGCGCAGGCGATTTATTGAAATGACCTAGTTGTTTGTATCGAGTGGACGTTAAACCCCATCTCTCTCTCTCTCTCTCTCTCTCTCTCTCTCTCTCTTCCGAAAACCTTGTGAACCCGATAAGCCTAGGTTACTGTTTTAATGGATTTGGTATGATGGGGACATGAGAGAACGAACACTGTCTATATTTAGCGTTCTACAACCTTCGGTTCTGGATCAATTTATTTGTTGTGAAGGAGTAGGCCTACGACTGTGAGCGGATGAATCCTATTGATTTTCAAATTTGGCATGAAACACTGGGGTCGAGGAAGATCATCCTTCAGCATTCTATGACTTTCTGTTGCAGAGATATATTATGTGTCCGGAAGAGCACGTGAACATAAAAGAGTTCAGATTTCTTGAAGACAAAGTCCCCTTATCAAATTTGGTCAACATCTAAGTTTTCTTTCTGAATAAGCCCCTGCCTATGATTTTTTCTTTCGGCATATCTTTACATAACTTTTAATAATAAAATTAATAAAATACAGTATCGACCTTAAAGGGTTTTCGAAGTATTTATTAAAAATATTATTTCAATTGGATCAGAATTCTTAATGAACTTTTAATAATAAAAATAATAAAATATAGTATCGACCTTAAAGGGTTTTCGAAGTAGGGTACGATCTAAAATATTATTTCAATTGGATCAGAATTCTTAATGAACTTTCTAGTGAGAGAATCGAAGTATAATCAGTAAGATTAATTAAATATTAAAAGCGAATAAATGTTCAGTACATTATCGAGTCTATAAATCAACAAATCAGAAGTTGGCTACAGTTGCAACGTAAAAATCTATCAATGTAGCAATTTTTATCACAAAAATATTTTCAATTTTTGTAAGTGTTATTCTAATTGACGAACTTGATGGAATGAATTTATTGAGAGCAAAAATGCATATTGGTTTGTATAATACGGTGGCCTTTTAGTGCCATGCATTGATTTATACCCTTTTCTTGTAATTTACTTCATATGAGAATTGGCAGTGAAAACTATAATAAATATAAAAAAAAACCCATGAAAAAAGGTTTACACCGCGGAGAAAAGGTTTACACCGCGGAGAAAACTTTATACTGCGGAGAAAAGGTTTACACCGCGGAGAAAAAGGTTTACACCGCGGCGGCGAAAAAAAACTTTATACCGCGGAGAAAAGGTTTACACCGCGGAGAAAACTTTATACCGCGGAGAAAAGGTTTACATAAGGTATATTACAAGAAAAAGGTATAAATCAACTTATTGATGGATTTTAACGTCCACTCGTCACAATTAAGGGTATTTCGGGACTAACACACGGTTGAAATTTATTTTATTACTGTGCTCGCTCGTAGGGTTCTTTAGCAGAGACCCGGAGAAAACCCACGGGGTTATCTCTAACAATCGAAACCACGCCACTTGACTCAGTGACAAACCTTATGATTTAAGCAGCGTACGCGTTCAACCTTTCGCCATAATGAAAAGAAAATCGCTGGGTTTTTTTGCATTGTACTCGGGGAATTTTTCCTCAGCGAGTTGTCAGTTATTCAAATAATTAAAACCGGTTTTATATTGTTTATGTAATTTCTATGATGTTGCTGTCTAAAACCACTTTATGTACAATTATTGCTTGTAAAAGAAACTTTCAAGTTTATTGCGTAGAGTAAATGTAATTTTGATATAATTTTTATGGGACATCACATCACCTAATTAATCCGAATCCACACAACAACATCCTTACAGGTTGAGATCAATTGACATATGCGAGTATTTTATGTCACGACTATATCTACAGTTGAATGATAGTATGATGTGACGAGATGACATAAGAATAAAGGGGGGTTGGATGGCCGAATGCATAGCACGTGCGCGCTGTACCATAAAGTCTGTCATTGAGTCAACTGGCGTGGTTTCGATGATGGTTCGCTAGCCTGGAGGTTGCGTGTTCGCTCCCGTTGTTGGCCGAGGAAGTTCATCTGGATTTTCCGTCGTGGTTTCCCTTTGTCAGTGTTGCAGGACGATGGGTCGGTCTGCCAAGGAGAGGTGTCTAGTCTTTCGTATGGGACGAAAAACCAAGGTCCCGTGTACACAATGACGCGCACGTTAAATATCCCTTGGTAGTTGGAATTCGATATAAGAGTGGGCCATAGCGCTGCTGTCCGGGCGGAATTTCCCTCATCGCACATTGTATGCCTGTCTTCATTAGCCCAACTGGAGCAGAACAATAATACGTTAAACCCCATTTCATTTCATTTCAATTTCAATTTTTACGTTGCATTTAAAAGAGCAGTGTATAATTTACAGGTCATAAATTGTTTGGTCTATGGTAATTAATTGTGTTATGTAAATGTGTTTTAATCATTTTGACCAGTAAGCCGTATAAAACGATATTGTAAAAAAAAATCTGTCACTTTTGTTTGAATATTTCTTCCCAATATCTGAATTGTATTGTATGTAACACACTGCAAGAGAGAAGATCGGAGAATTTCATTCTCAAATCCCTTATCGGAAATTAGTGAATTGTCTTTGTAATTCACCACAATATGTCTAGAATAGAGTTATAGCAGAATTTTATATTCATATTCCCCTTTTAACAATTTCCTTGAGCTTGGTTGTCCCCGTCTTTCGAAGAAAGCAGGGGGACTGGGTCCAAATATCATTTTTGAAAACCATCTCTTTTAAGTCAGCTTACTGAATAATTGTTTAATGGCTATAAATATTTACAATATTGCAAGAGATGGACAGAGAACAAGCTAAACAAAAACGAGATTTTTTGTACAATCAGAGACTATAATCAAGTTACGGTCCGATATGCATGAATATCAAAAGGATACCCAGATCGTCTGGGTATAAACATATATTTTAAATTTCATCAAGATCGGATAAAAACGGTGACTTCTAGAGGGTCCACAACCTTGGTATTACATACTTTTACATTATTTGCGTACAAGTAGCAGCCATTTTGTCAAGCAATTTCGGTTCGATTTTCACGAGATTTGAACTCATCTATCATTAGTGTGTAACAATGATATATTTAAATCAGATAAAAATTGTGACCTCTAGAGGTTCTACAAGTTAAATACACGATTTTTCGTACAATTTATTGGTCATAACCCAGCAGGTTACGTTCCGACATGCGTGATTATCGAGAGGAACCAAGATCTTTGTGATATAAACATACATTTCAAGTTTCACCAAAATCGAATTAAAATTTTGACTTTCAGAGGGTCCACGACCTTGGTATTACACACTTTTAGACTATTTGTGTACAAGGCGCTGTCTGGCACTTTCTGGCAGATTTTTACGATCGGGGGTGTACGGTGATGTATTTTTATGGTTGTTAAAATCAAATGTAAATTGTCCACAAGCTAAAAACGTGATTTTTCCGAACAATCAGTTGCCATAATCCAGCAAGTAACGTTCCGATATGTCGAGAGGAACCAAGATCTTTGTGATATAAACATACATTTCAAGTTTCATCAAAATCGAATAAAAATTGTGACTTTCAGAGGATCCATAACCTTGTCATTACCTACTTTTAGACTATTTGCGTACAAGGGGCGGCTATTTTGTCCGGCATTTTTGGTCAGATTTTTACAACATTGAGGTATAACAGTGATATATTTAAACGGTTTTGAAAATTGAATACAAATTGTGACTTCTAGAGGGGTCCACTCGCTAAAAACGTTATTTTTCGACCAATTAGGGGCCATAATCCAGGA